CTCGCCCCGCTGCACTTCTCACTGCAGTTAATGAATTGCTAATACAATTTTCTAGATAATTTTATTTCCATACTCCCACATTTTAATGTGTTTCCAAAAGCTAGCATTTATTTGCCTAATCTCCCAGTGTAATAGAATCTGCCCTGACTCATCATACATGCGAACAATCAGGCAGAAACGACAGCAAATTGTTTAATAACTCAAAGCGCATCTCTGGATTTTTAACTTGCATGCACCAATAGCTTTTCTCCTGTCTCATCCTCTTTTTCCCTCCACCCTTCTCTGTTTTTCTTTTTTTAACAAATGCTTTTCGATTATCAAGACTGCTGGTCTCTCGACGTGAGAATAGGAAAGTGGATATAGGGCTCTGGAGCTCCTCCTTGTCCCCCTACCCCTTGTTTCGTGGTTAAGTGGCCAAAGAGAGTTTCCTGTGCCTTGTGTGATGTCCCAGGAAGGGGAGAAGGGCCACTGGAGGGGCATTGTGGCATTTCCTTTCCAGCTGGTGAACATACAACTTTAAGCTCATCGACAAGGCATAGAGCTGGCCATCTGGGACTCGTGGATTCCATTCGCGGCCACTGGAGCCCAGGCCCAAGTCCTGTTGTGACGCTTCGCAGGGATTTCATGGTTCCACTCCTGTGCTGAAAGCTCCATGTCCTCACTTGGTGCCTCTTTCCGTGGAGGCACAGGGACATCTGCTTCCTGCTCTCAACTGCTGTGCCTGCTGTTGGGTCCTTGCTTTGGCTGAGGCATCGCCCTGCAGAGGGGGCTGTAGAGCCTTGCACATCTCTCTCCATCTGTTTGGGCTGCTGTAACACACTGCTGTATACACTGAGAGTTGTTTAAGGAAAGGACTTTCTCATGTCCTGGAGATGAGGCAGTCTGAGTTTAGGGCACCAGCACAGCCAGATCCTGGAGAAGCCAGATTCTTCCTGCTTGCAGGCTCCTGACTGCTTGCTGTTCTCCTGGTGGAAGGGACTAGCTAGCCTTCTGGAGTCCCTTCTATAAAAGTACTAATCCCATTCTTGAGGACTCTGTTCTCATAATGTAACACCTCCTATAGGCCCCACCTTTTATTTATTTATTTTTTATTTTTTTGCGGAACTAGGGATTGAACTCAGATCCTGCATTTGCCAGTCAAGCACTTATCCTACTGAGCCATCTCCCCGGCTCCACCTTTTAATATCATCAGTTCACAGTCAGGATTTCTTTTTACTTTAAAAAATTTTTTTTATTAATGTATTTGGTACAGGGTCTCACTGTGCAGCTCAGACTTGTAGTGATCCTCCTGTTTTCAGCTTCCCCAGTGCTGGGATTACAGGTGTGCACCACCGTGCCTGTACTTGGTGGCTGGCTCAGCGTGCCTGGAGTGGGGCCTATACAACATGTGGTGCTGCAGAGTGAACCCTGGTTCCTGTGCTTCCCTAGGCAGGCACTTAGTCTGCTGAGCTATCTTGCTGACCTCCAAAGTCAGGATTTCAGCATGGCCATTGAGCAGGGCACAAAAGTTTCAGGCCACCCCTTGTCCTATGGCCCTGCATTGCCATTCTTTTTTTTTTTTTTTCTTTTTCTTTTTTTTTGCGGAACCGGGGATTGAACTCAGGCCCTTGCGCTTGCCAGGGAAGCGCTTATTCTACTGAGCCATCTCCCTGGCCCCACCATTATTTTTTTAATCATTTATTTATTTGGTAGGTACAGGGTCTTGCTACACAGCTTGGACTCAGTGATCCTCCTGTCTTGCCTCCCCAGTGCCACACACCTGGTTGCAGGGCCAGCACAGCATGCCTGGGGTTCTGGGGCTGGCATGGCATACAGTAACCAGGGATCAAACCCAGGTCCTTGCACTTGCCAGGCAGGCACTTAGACTGCTGAGCTATTCCCCCAGCCACTCTGCATAGCCTTTAGAATATTGTCTACCCAATCCCACTGGTCCACGTGGTTGTCTGTGATCTGACCCCCAATGTAGCTCTGTCCTAAGGGCTGGTCAGCTATGCCATCTACTCTGAAATTTGCTTCTGGTCTGTCCTTGGCCTGCCCCTGGTACTGTACCTCCCAGGCCTTGGCTTCTCAGACATTCTCCATTCTCAAAGGCTAACTCAGAATCTTCTGTGAACCCCACTTAGTCATCTTTTCTGTCTCCCAAGACCCAGTTTCTCAGCCTTTCCCTGGTCACCTTGTGTAGTGTCCACGGTAGTTAAGTCAGCTAAATGGGCAGAAATACAGTTTTAGGCTGCTCTGAGTCACACCACCAAAGAACAGCTTCAGGGGCTTTGGGAAGAGGAGGGGGCAGAGTGCTACAGAGTCCTCCGTTGGTGCTGCTGGGTGGTCCCATCTCCAGACCGCTTCTGGGCCTGCTCCAGAGGCACAGTGCACCCTGCCTGGGTGCCATCCAGGCTTTTTATGTTTGCATGCATTGCTGTTAGAATACCCAGGAGAGCCTTGCCTCTTGAAGGGCACAGCTTGCCCAAGAAGCTTGCTGCCTGATCTAAGGACACCTGCTAGGACACCTGGCCTAATCAGCAGTCTCTCCAGGCTGGGAGATAAGGGCAGAGAGGGACACTGGTGCTGGGAACTCTTAGGCTGAAGAACAGGGTTGCTGTGTCACAGAATGTGCTGCAGAGAGACTGCTCTAACACAGGATGACTGGGCCGAACGGGACCATAAGGGGCTGTCTGTCTACTCTGTCCTGCTGGACCACTTCTGTGTTGTCCCTTCCATCAAATGGAGCTGAGTATCCCAATCAATACTCCCAGAGATTTTGCTGGCTCTCTTGGGGTTGGGGTTGGCAGAGTTGCAAAAGCTGTGGCTTGTGACCAGCTTCCTGTCTACCCTCCATGGCCCTGGAGTCGGTAGCCTTTGCTGTGGAAAGCCATGTGTGTATTGATGCTTGCTTCTTACTGCCCTTGGACATCTATTCTAGGAGAAGCCCAGACAGACAGATGACCAGCGCAGAGGTACATTTGGGCCCAGTCACATGGCTTGTGAAGTCAGCACATGAAGCAGATAGATGCTGACTCTGGCTTTCTTACCACGAGAGCCTAGGCTGGTTATTTAACCTTTGTGTTTTCCTGTGTGTAGAAAGTGGGCTATGAATGCTGTCTTGGGATGGAAATCCTATGAGCCCATAGCACCACACCTGTAGTTCTTTCCTTCTGCTCTTTGAAGACCAGGAGTAAAATCACTTCTGGGTCCCCACTCCCCTTCCCTGCCTTCCTGGCTGCTGGCCTGATGGAGCAGGACTGCAGGGTGGAGCTGGCTGTGGGGGCCTGGACTCTAGCCTCTGCAGAAGGAGGGCCCGGGAGTGACCGTGGGAGGCAGGAGAGTGAAGGGTGAGCATGAGTTCTTCCCTTCCCACTAGTTCATCCCAAGCCCAGCTATGAATAACGTGAGATGGCAGACCCAGCTTCCTCACTTGCTGCCTCCGTTCCGGGGCCACAAAGGAAGCCTGGTTTTTCGTGTTGTCCCTTGTCTTCCCCCTCGCCTGCGACCAGAAGCTCCTCAGCCCCACCCCAAACATTCCATGGCCTCTGTCAGCCAAAGCTCATGTCCTCCTTGCAGCCTGCACTGATCCAGCTTTCCCACTTGGTTACCTTCTGAAGCAGATGGTATTTTGGGGCCAAGAACAGGTGTGTCCCCCACCCCACTGGCAGCAAAGACAAGTAGGCAGGGGGTGCTGGTGGGCTTTAGGAACCAAGATTCAAAGTAGTGGGTGGGAAGCCACCATGAAGACATAAAAGGTAGAGTTAGTTAGACATTTCCTCCTACAGTTCCCTAGCCGGAAAGGCTGTGGCTCCAGAGCAGCACCGAAAGGGGTTGCCTCTAAGCAGAGCCCATAGCTGTCTCTGTGGTACTGTGGTACTGGGCAGCGCAAGGATGACAGAACAAAATGAAAATGTCATGTCACTCACTGGCTGAAAATCCTCCAATAGTTATCCCTGGGTCCTAGGATGAAACCTAAAGATCTTAATGCAGAGTAGAACCTCAGGTGACCCAGGCCCCTGATTCTCTCCAGCATCTTCAGCCACGTGTTCTTCTGTCTGATCTTCTTACCTGTTGAGTTTCTTTCCAACTCTGGGTATCACAGATACTATTCCATCATCAAAGAGTGCTTTCCCCAATGGCCTATGTGGCATCTGTGCTTAGGGCAGGGACTTAGAGTGCTCCTCTTTGTTTATATCCCCAGTGCCACAAAGGGTCCAACTTAGGGAAGCTGTCACAGTAATGCTTGTTGAATGAATGCACTCAAGATTCATGCTTTGGCTGGTGGCGGTGACATATACCTGTAATCTCAGCACTTGGGAGGCTGAGACAGGAGGATCACTGAGCGTTCAAGGCCAGCCTGGGCTACATGCATACAGTCTCTGCCTCAAAAAAAGTCACACTTTCATGACTGGAGAAATGGTTAAAAGAGTAAGATATGAAGCTACCTTTAGGAAAGGATTCTGATCCAGACTAGCTGGTGTGAACCCCAGAGAGGCTGCTGCTTATGCGCTCCATGGCGCTTCGGACAGGTTACTCCATCTCCTTTTGCCTTGCTTGGTTTGCTCATCTGAAGGGTGAGGGTGACAGGGACAACCTTCGGAAGCTGTGGTTTTAGTTTCATTGGTATTACAGCGTGATCTTTGTTGTGGTTGGCCCTCGCAGAGCCTGCTCTGTTTCCTCACTGCTGCCCCAGGCCCTAGGAGGTCTCCCTGATTCCGCGTTTACTACCTGTCTTCTGTGTAGTATTGAAATACTCGTGAATTTACACTTGCTGTTGCCAGATCCATGATTAATGCCTGTCTTTCCCCACTAGTCCTTAGGTCCCGCCAGGGAAGGATGCCTGTCTGTTTTGTCTCTTGGAGTTACAGACCATCAGCACAGCATGCGTGCCTGGGCTGCCTCTGACTTGCCCTTGGGATTGGGGGCGCTTGTCCGGTGCCGGCTTCTACATTAGGCTGGATGGGCAGAGTCGCCTTGGGCTCCCTCCTCCTGAGCGCACCCTCTGTTGTGTCCCATAGGCACGGACATGGCTGTCTTCTGCCTGCTGTGTGGGAAACGCTTCCAGGCGCAGAGTGCGCTGCAGCAGCACATGGAGGTCCACGCGGGTGTGCGCAGCTATATCTGCAGCGAGTGCAACCGCACCTTCCCCAGCCACACCGCGCTCAAGCGTCACCTGCGCTCGCACACAGGTAGGCGGGTCCTGGTGGTGGGTGGCTGTGGGTTTCTAGGAGCCCGTGTCTAGATTTTACCTCCTGAGATCTAAAGTAGAGGGGCTGGACTGAGTCCTTTGTCCCAGGGTGGACACGTGGGAATTCCAGTAATTCAGAGAAATGTTGACAGTTCTTCCAGTCCTGCATTGTAGACCATTGCATGTTCCCATGCCCAGCACAGAACAGGAAATGTTCCTTTTCTACAGAGACTCGCAAGACCCATGCTCAGAAACTTTGACCCACTAGGTCTAGGGTGGGATGTGAGCCTCAGCACTATTAATAAGTATTCCTAAGGGATTCCGGTGTAGATAGCCCGCAAATGCATTTGGAGATCAAAATGCCTTTCTGGGTCTCCTGACTCCTTCCGCCATAGCCCACCACCCCCACCACCTGGAGTCCACGTAGACATGCCTGAAGTCCCATTCCAGCTCTTAAAAACACACTGAACAAGTCGCCCTTCTTTCTGTATAGCAGCGGCCAAAGGTCTTTCCTTTGGACTCAGTATTACGAATCCAAGACAGTGAAGATATTTGACCAACGAGCCATGATCCATCCCTGCCCAGCCAGGTGCCCAAGATGGGGTGGGAGAGAGGAAATGAGACCAGGAGGATGGGCCAGTGCCCAGGTGCTGGCACATCACTGCCGCTATCTGCAGCCCTTGGTCTCCCCTAATGGAAGTAGATGACCTAAATCCCTTCTGTCCTAACAGTGTGGGATCTTCACTGACTGTACATGGGTAAAGAAATGCTCGGGTCTGGGTCTGAGTGTGTGTTCTCTCCTGAGTTGGAGTCAGGTCTCTGCATGTAGTGACGAGCATGCTCATGCCTGTTGGGTAGGGTATAAAGGCTTCACGTGCGTCACAGAAGGTTGGCAGGAGCCCTCCCCCCTACACGCCTTGCTTTCTCATTCTTTTTTTGAGACAGAGTCTCACCATGTAGTTCACTATGTAGTTCAGGCTGGCCTCAAACTCGCAGCAGTTGTCCTGCCTCAGTTTCCCAAGGGCTAGGATTACAGGCATGTGCCACCATGCCTTGTTTCTCTTTCTCGTTCTTAAGAGTCTTGTCACAGCTCAGGGATTGAATATGACACCAGGTTTTACACAGTGCTAGGCTCTGTTGCACGAGGAGAGGCTTTGTTGTGACAGACCGTCCTGCCATTAGGGGCGTGAAGAGCCTACCTGGGCCCTTGCTTCAGGATGCCCTTCTGTTCAAGGGAGCCTTGCATCACCAGAGTTGCTTAGAATCATGTAGGATTGCTGAGGGGCAGAAGGTAGAGACCACAGGGAGGAAGGGCTGGGGATAAGAGGGTCTCTACAGTGACTGCGTGTGTGCCCCTTCCTGCTGGCATCCCCAGTGGGTGCCAGGTTCAGCCTTGTGAAAGATGGTGAGCTCCCTTTCAGCCACTGGAGAGCACGCTGTTGGGTCAGATCACTTGGCGTATGTGACATGAAAGATTCCAGGCCTACTAAGTCACTCAGGAGGCCCCCTGCTTTGCTTGTGTCACCTTCTAGGAGCTCCAATACCCAAGTGTCAATCTCGCTCTGCCCTTTGTCAATCATGGTTCAGTTTGATGGGCAGGGACAGAGTTTGGGAGAAGCCCTTGCTTCTAGGAATAACAGGACCCATGTGCAGCGTGCATTGTGTGTACACACGCACACACCCCTCTATTTCCACACCAGCCACACGTAGGCTCTGCACATTCCCTGCACAATGCCTCATTAATATTCTGTTGTTCTTGGCCCATTTGCTGCTGGGGCTGGGTGCTTAGTACCAGCAGCTGTGTTTGGTGGGTTAGTCCAGCCACGCTCCTGGCATTGATGGATCCCTCAGTCACACAGCTCATCATATAATAAACTCTCAGCTGTGCTGAGGGAGGGGCCTAGAGGGAGGGGCCTGAGGAGCCAAGGGATGGGACGGCCAGGGTGAAGAGGATGCCACGGGGCTTGGTCAGAGCCACCGACTCCAGGTAATGACAAACTGGGGAAAGGGGATCACAGGTGCACGGGGCAGGCCAGAGGGGCTCTAATTAGTCTCGTTTGTCCTGTACTTAATGTCAAGCTCATTAACGAGTCTACAGAGTTAATCAACATACCACAAATTGGATTTTGAGTCCTGCCGCCACATTTGTGTACATTATAGCCACTCTGACATGATTAACCGGGGTGGGCGGGGGGGTTGTGGGCCAGGTGCGTGTCAGGCTGTAAAATCTGGGTGTATGTGTGTGTATTGGTGCTTTGTCTTTTTTTTCCTCCTGAGTTCTTTTTATTCCTTTCCCTGGGCAGACTCAAGAGAGTTCCTGTTTAAACTCATTTAACACGTGATACACTCCATAATGATATTCATAAAAGCCTTATCAAACAGACCCCCCTGATATTTTTTAAACTCGTAGGGCCCACCTCTGGAGGAGAAAGGCACGCAAAGGCAGCATGTCGTGCTCCCCGCCCTGAGCCCTGGGCTGGCCGGCCACCGACGTACCTTTTAATTACCATCTCTGGCCGAGGTCTCATGTGCCCGTTGCTTTATTTATTTATTTATTTATATCTTAATGAGGACACTGAATCTTTGATTAAAGTCGTAATCGTTGCTGATCTGGCAGGGTGGGGGTGGACAGGCAGGCCATGCATGCAGACAGGGAGAGTGGGGTGGGGGGGGCACAGATTCACCCCCACTCTCTTAGACACACAAGGAATTAGTGCCAGCTCTGCACAAGCCTTCATCTCCCTCGGGTCCCATGAGGCGGGGGCAGGGAGGAGTGGGCAGTCTGGGTATCCCGTGGCAGCAGGAGGACACGGGTCGTGGTTTTCTGAGCAGGGGACCCTAATTCTCAGTGCATCCCCGGCTCTGTGTGCGAGGGCTTAGCCACAGACATGCCACTGAGCCAGGCAGTGCCTGCAGATGGTGTGAGCTGGACCTAGAGCGTCCTGATGGGACTGCCTCCCAACCCTGGCCTCCGTGCGTCCTGCAGCTCTTCCACCCGTGAGTCAGCCAGTGAGCACGCCCCAGCAGCCACTCCCCACAGAGCCTTAAAAACCCTTCAGAGCCATCAGAAGAGATGAAAATTTATATGGGGCAGGGCCTGTATTTGGGAGGGGGGAGGTTTGGTTAGCAGCCTGCAGAGGGGAGAGAGAGGAGAGAGTAAAATACCATTTTAAAGAGGAAGTGAAGGCATAGGCATGTGAGTCTATAAGGAGGAGGACAATTTATGCCCAGGCACGAGCACAGTTTGACATGGGGATAATGAAAAAACGTAGGTCATTGTGGATGACTTAAACCTTCAGCAGCTGAAGAAAATGTATGAAATGCAGAGGACATTACACGGTTGGCAGCCCTGCACATCTGCAGAGGGACAAGTGAAATACAGTGGGCCATTCTTTACCATAAACTGTGCTTGTTGGAGACGCAGCCCAGAGAAATTGTAATTACAGTGACAAGACGAATCAGTGATATTTAAATATTCATGAACAAAGTCTGGGGTGATCAATCTATCTTTATTGTCTTCGCCTTCACTCCTGTAATAAATAAGTAGCTGAAGTCCTCACCTATCATCCCCCTGACACCCCACTTTGGGGACATAATGCACACCTCTACCTCTTGCCTTTAGGGCATTTAAGAGTGGGGTGCCTGCCCCCAAAGGAGGAAACAGATGTTTTCCTGTAATGACCTACCTGTTCACGACTGTTCAGATTGGGGGGCGCTTTTTAAACTGGGGATCTACTGTTCAGACTTGTGACTTGTCTTGTTTTTACATCGTCCCCCTTGTTTATACAGTACTGGAATTCTTGCAGATTACACTGTAAAATACAGTGCTGCAGTCGTACGCTGTTACACACTTCAGTACTGCAGTATGAGTTATGCAAATAAAAGCCAAGTCATCAAGTTGGAGTTTCCCTTGATCTTTTTTTTGTCGTTGTTCTGAGTATTGTAATGTACCTGCTCTATACAGTTCCTCATCTGGTGAGCAACTCGTGTAACGGCCTTGTCACAGAGGAATGTCTGCAACAGGACTAGATTTTAGTTGAGGAAAGACAGTTTTTAGAGAACTGCATAAACCCACCATTTCCTGAGGGTTCTGGGCCATTCCTGAACTGTATGCATGGGCTGCAGGGGTAGATAAGGCTCACTTCTTGCCCTTGAGGCACTTCCAGTTAGAGAGCTAGTCCCTGTGCCAGGGCATTCAATAGAGTGTGCCCATTAGCTGTCTAGGAAGTACCCAATGTCCTGACCTAGGAGCCACACCACAGCCCTGTCACAAGGCAGCTCCTGAGTACATGGCTTGGGGGAAGAGAGCTGAGCATCTCTAACTCATTTTTCTCATCTGTAAAATGGGAATTACACCTTTCTTTGAGGTAGGTTGTCATGACCAACATGATATGATCCATGCATGGTTCTTAGCATAACGGCAAGTGTTCAGCAAACATAAGCCATCTTAATGGAAATGTTGTGTTAAAACTGCACTAACAAAAGAATAAAGGGCTGGATGTTTCTCCTCTTTGGGACAGAGAAGAAAGTGTGGCTCATTTTTCCTGAAGACTAAAGGGAAACCTCCATGGGGGGCGGGGGACAGTGAGAAGTTCCCCAAAGGGGTGGGATGTTGTGGGGGTTGTGGAGTCAAGCTTGAGTGATGCTTGCCCCTGACCCAGGGGAAAGGCCAGTAGGTGATAGAGGAGGCGGCAGCACAAGACATGGGCCTGACCCAACCCCTTGTCCCCACAGGTGACCACCCGTATGAGTGCGAATTCTGTGGCAGTTGCTTCCGGGATGAGAGCACACTCAAGAGCCACAAGCGCATCCATACCGGGGAGAAACCCTATGAGTGCAACGGCTGTGGCAAGAAGTTTAGCCTCAAACACCAGCTGGAGACGCACTATCGGGTGCACACAGGTATGAAGGGCTGGTGAGGGGTAGGGTGGGCTGGGCTTGGAGCAGAGGGTTCCCCAGAGAACCCGAGTGAGGATGGCCCAAGGCTGGACCGGGAAGCAGAGGTTCTGTGAGGCCTGAACAGGTTCCTTCCGCACCCTGCCCCCCATGACCAAGGCAGACAAGACTAATCAATCACAGCATGCTTTACCAGGGGCCCAGGTCAGGCCCTGAGGCAGCTGCACCAGTGTCAGGGCTGACATGTAAGGTGATGTCTATTTATGAGTTCTGATTTAGGGTTAAATTACTGAGATTAGCTGGAAAGTAAAGGTTACTGTGGTTTTGCTTTGCTTGAGGGTTAGCGTAAGCATTGGAGTGAACTGAATTAAAAGGTGGAGAAATGGTGATGTTAGATCCAGCTCAGTTCTGAGATTAGAGACACAGACGTATTTAATAATCCCTTGTTGTGTATTATGCTTTACTATTTCTGAGTACCTCAACATTCCTTTCTACTTAAACTCCAGCAACTATTTTCCCTGGGGTGTGAGGAGAGGCAGGTGGAAGTGATCAGACTTCCGGGAATTTCTGCATTGGGGAAGTGGGTGGAATCCCGGGGCAAGCCTGTGCTTGCTTGTGAAAGCTATTTGTTCCCAGTTTCCAGTTCAGTGACACTGGCTTCATTGCCTAAAGTTGGTTGTGGAGGAAGCGCTGCAGCGGCAGCATGCACTGGTAGGCCGGTGCTACGAGTCCGGGCCTTTTGGAAAGCCGCATGTCTGACACTCCCAGCTCTCTGCAGTTAGCGTGTTGTGTGCTTCAGAGGGCATCCTCTGAGAACGAGAGCTGGCAGGAAGCCGGCAAATGTGGAAACCCTCTGATGGGGGGACAGCAATCCTGTCTAGAGGGGAACAGATGGCTGTGTGTTCTCCACGCTGTCTTCTTTCCTGTAGCGTGGGGCCACACAAAGGATGAGGTGCTTGCTGTTGATGACTCAAGTGACCAGAGGATTGCCCAGAGCCTTGGGGTTTCCTTAGCCCCTTGTTGGGGGTGTGACCTGGCCAGTGGATCATTACATGCATTGACAGTGACTATTGTAAATAGCTGGTCGATAGTTAGATCACTTTGGCTGTTCATTACTTCATTCTTTGCTGGGGCCTCTGCACGGAGGAATATTGATAGAGAGATGGCTGGGCAGTTAATTACTGTATCGAAACAAGGTTCCCTTACATCCTCTGCTTAGCTGCAGGGCACTCCAGTGAGGGGAGATCACTGAGGGTAATCCCTCAAGGGAGCCTGAGGGTAGCAGGCTAGACTATGGCTGTGTCCCCCAGTTCTTGCCCCAGAAGGGAAGGAAGGGTCTAGCGCAGGGTCTTAGCCCTTTACCATGCTAGATAGCCCAGGTGTAGAGTGTGTGTAGGACTGGGGTCCCTGGGTTTCTCCCACCGCTGGTCCTTAACATCTGTAGCCCTGGGAGGACTGTCTGCTCTCTGCTCCTAGTGGGTGCAATGAGTGGAGAGCCATCCCCAAGGACTTCTAGGACCTCTGTGTCCCCTCCCCTTGGAGACATTTATTTCCTTAAGGAGAAGGCAAGAACCTTGGCTTTGAGAAAGTTGAGCATAGTGAAGCAGCGGGCTAGCGGTGTGCCGCTGCACATGCCTGGAGCCACGAGCCACATAGGGCTGCTCACATGAGGTGTGGTGATACAGTCGAGAACATGGTGTCCCGGTTGCACTAGCCACATGTGACTGGTAGCTGCCGTGTTGGAGGGTGTGTCCATCATTCCGGAAGTTATTTCAGAGAGCTTTGGACTAGGGCGACGGGATTCTCCCACCTAGCCGACGTGGCCCAAGGCCTTCAGAGTCCTCTCCTGTTGCGCTCACTCTCTCCTGCTCTGTCTGCCCCCTCCCCAGGTGAGAAGCCTTTTGAGTGCAAGCTGTGCCACCAGCGCTCCCGGGACTACTCCGCCATGATTAAGCACCTGCGAACACACAATGGTGCCTCGCCCTACCAGTGCACCATCTGCACCGAGTACTGCCCCAGCCTCTCCTCCATGCAGAAGCACATGAAGGGCCACAAGCCCGAGGAAATCCCGCCCGACTGGAGGATAGAGAAGACGTATCTCTACCTGTGCTATGTGTGAGGGGAGGCCTACTCAGCGGAGCAGGAGCAGCCGCCAGGGGAGACGAGTTAGAGTGAGATAAAGTCGAGGGAGGACTGTGCAAAGAAAAAAACGATAAAAAGATAAAAAGAAAATGAGAGAGAAGGAAAAGGAAACCTCCTAACTCTTTGGTGTTTGATTCTCTCTAGGGCTCCAGGTGACCTGGGTGCCAAGCCGCTGTCTTTTCCCAGGGGGCCTCTGCCCTCTGTGGAGGCTGGAGACTTGCTTGGTTTTTATGGGTGGGTAGAGGTGATTTTGTTCACTTCCACGGCGGCGTGTTTTTCTCTTCCTCCTGCCCAGACCCTCCGTCTGTGTCTAGAAGCGGATGCTGGGAAATGAGTGGGAGAGCCTCTGGTCGGAGCACACCTTCTGCCGCCCTCCTCCCATTGTCAGAGGATGGAGGGAGGGAAGCAGAGAGGGGGGTGGCAGAGGATGTAAAGGCCCGGCTGATGCCCACAATGGCAGCTCTGGTTTGCTGGGGACAGTGGGAGCGGTGCTGTCTTTCCACTTTGCAGTCATCTGTCGCTTGCCTCTGCCCTGCTGCAGCTGGGTGTCCCTTCAGGTCTTTGAGAGCCACTTAGCTCTTCCCTCCCTGGCTGCTTGCTCCTTTGGGCCGCTGTCCTCCAGGTCCCTGGAGCTGTGGGCCCCTTCGGGATCTGGGTGACATTTCCTTCCTCCTCTGGTCCCTGGTGGTGTGACCCATCCAGAGCCCCTTCTTCCGCTTTGCTTTCTGAGTACACAGAACAAAACATCTCGGACACCCCCTGGGGCCAAGCCCACCTTGAGCAAGATTCCTGCTGTGCTGTTTTCTGTTTCCAGGATAGAAAACCGTAACAACTAAATATGTTAGATCCCAACAGCCAAACAAACACGGACCCCTGCAACCCTGTGTCAGCCCCTAGAGAAAGGAATCTGTGGAAGGGCTCATTGTCCAAGGGAAGGATATGGATGACCTTCTTAGAGGTGCCCTGCACCTGGAGGCGGGAACAGATACCCTGCCCTGTTGGGAGAGCTGACCAGGGAAGACGTTGCTGTCCTACTTGGGGACCCTTCCATCGTGAGGCTTGGGGAACCCCAGACCCAGCGAGCGCAGCAGGAAAACCCAGGTCCAGACAGCAGTGTAGGGTTGCTGGCTTACAGGTGTCCCTGCCCACATGGGGGAGGAGGAAGAGGAAGAGAAGCTGAAAGTGCATTGGCCTTGTGTATGTTTTGCTTCTGTTCTGTGTCCCCTGTTAGCACATTGTACTTGAATTACCTCAGTTTTTTTGTGACCTCATGAGCTTTTTAACCCTCTTTTTTGTTTGTTTGTTTGTTTATTTGTTGGGGGGTGGAGGAACGGGGAGGGTGTTCTGTTGTTTTTTGTGTAAATTAATAGCTGGCTTTAGACTTCAGCTGGCCAAGGCCCTGCCGTCACCCTGGTCACCAGCCTCAGGAGCTGGCAGGAGGAGTGTAATACTCAGGATTTACGCATGAAGGTGCGGGGTGGGGGGATGCAGAAGGGAGGGTATGTTAGGGTCTTACTGTCCCCCCCAAGGCACTCAGGAGCCACTGTTGGTTCTGCCCAGGGCTCGAACCATCCATGTCAGTATTCATTCAGCCTGAACCACTCTGGAGATGGCGCCCACCGTCTTTACAACCTGCTGGGCCCTTCAGGCCTGAGCCTCAGTTGCTCTGCTCCTACCGAGTGTGGTGCCGCTGTGTGCACGCTCATTGCCAAAAATGGTGTCTTTGTGGCTGGCGGGGGTGACCCAGCCTTGGTTTTGTGGTGTTGGGGGTCGGTGTTATTTTTCTAAAGCTACCTCTTCTGTTTGTCCCCTTGCTCTTCGTTCTTCCCAAGCCTCCCCTCTGCTGCTCCTCAGCTCCACGTTTCCCTAATCCTGCCTCCCCTCTGTTGCTCAGCTCCCCGATTCCCTAATCCCACCTCCCTTGAGTTTAGGAAAGCACATTCGTGATACCTGTGTTGGCTTTGGGGTGGGCCCTGTGTTTCATCTCGTGCTTTATAAAAGTGTAAAAGTTGCTTTCTTTCCTTTTTCTTTCAGAAAGTTGTGGCTGCATTGTGATCTTAGGTGTTTAAAAAGTGGTTTAGGAAGCGGTTTCCAGGAGAAGGGCAATGAGGTGTCTTGGGAAGCTGGAGGGACGGGGCCACCCTCCTGTCCCCTGGCCCCAGACCCTTCTGCCTGACCCTTCAATCTTGTCCACCAAATCTGAAGGCCTTAAAAAGTATGTGTTGGGGGATGTGCACTAGGGGTGCGGTGTCACTGAATGGTCAGTTAGGGATGACACAGTAGTCAGGGGGATGCTATTTTGCAACTATAATAATGACTTAGTGCTTTGGGCAGGAAAAAGTTAAACTTGAATTGTGTGATGAGGGCAGTTGTCATGTTCATAATGTGAAAGGAGTGAGGTTCGGGGGGACAGGTAGCCTGTAAGAAACCACGCTGCACTGTGGCTTCCTCCCCCAAGTCTGTCAGGGGACCTGAAATCCCAGAAAACAGTATTTCTAACAGCAAGATGTCTCAGCATTGGTGGGGAAGGAGAAAAAAAAATGAAACTACTCTGTAGAGAGATTCTAGCTGGCCCTCGCTTCCCCCTTCCCACTCAGCCTGGTCCCCTCACGTCTAAGAGCTGAGAAGGTGGAGCTAATCTTTACAAATTGTAATATTTTTGTAGTTGTTTGTTAGTTGCTTTGTCCGTTCTACAGGACCTTGCTGTTTCCTTTTGTAATGTGAATAGGAAAATGAAAGAAAAAGACAAAAAAAAGTTTTGCCACCATCACAGCCAACGACAAATTATCGTTGTGTGTGTGTGTGTGTGTGTGTGTGTGTGTGTGCTCTGTGTATGATAGTGTGTTAAATCATGAGGTATTTTGTCATGTGATGTCGCAGTGTTGGATGGTACTAACCCAGCATCTGCCTGGTGCACCCAGCCTGGGGGGCTCTGCAGAGCCAATAGGGGTCTCAAGGGACACCAGAAGGGTACCTCTGTACTTGCTGTGTTCTTTGAGGCCCCAGACACCCCAATGTGCGCTTCTTCTCTACTTTCCTGCCCAAAAAGACCACACTGTCCTCTAGTCGCCAAGACTTTTCTGGGGCACGGGGGCAGGATAGGAAGCTGCGTGGAGCACAAGCTTGTGGAGACCAGGTGTGTGGAGGGGCCCCGGTGCCAGCCGAGCAGGGAGCGTTTGCCTGGCTCCCGTCTGCTGCCCCGCTGCTGTGCACCTGCAGGATCCCCGCTTGCTACTGCCTTATCCTGAGCAGTGACCCTCCTCCAGCCCGGAGTGTCCCTTTCCCGTGTCCAGCTCCTACGAATGTGTCCCTTAATGCCTTTGGCGACACTTCCCTGTCACTCATGCCCTCCTTCCCTATTACTCCTTCGCTCATTCAAAGCATAAAAATCCTATGTGTATATAGGATAGATAAATATATATATATAGAGAGATATATATAGCAAGAGAGATATAAATAGTAAATATCATTGCTGCTTTGGGTTGCTTTGGAGGAGGCCACGAATATGAGGAAGGCAGATTTGGGGCGCAGGGGTGGGGTGGGAGGCTGGGGACCCAGTGATTCAGTACAATCTAGGGGTACAACAGGGGCTTGTTTAATCCTTGTGCCTGAACAGTTTTTCCATGTTGAGAAAAAAAAAGGCTGCATTTTTTCACAAGTGTATGGTACCTTTCTGGATGCTATGTCTGGGTACATGGGCTGTGGGAAGAGGGAGAGCCTCAAGCACCTCCTGAGTGGGGAGGGGCAGGGTGGCTTTGGACCAGCTCTCCTGCAAGCTGAACTAGGTGGGAACGGGGTAGGGTGGGGGTGGGGGAGAACACGACACTGAGGAGCAGAAGAGGTACATCCCCTTGGTTCGTTTTTCCTAGGCCTCTTTTAACGCCCTCTTCCCCCCTCCCATCTCGTCTCCTCCCCTGGAGTTTCTCTGGCTTGGCTGGAATGGTGGCACTTACCTGGAGATTTCAGTGGGAGGACAGGCTGCGGGACTCACCCCTCACGGGGAACTGGCAGGTGGCAGCAGCAGTAGAGATGGCCGAGGGAGGGGTACAGGACAAACTTACAGAGGCTGGGTCAGGGGAAGGGGTGGGGAAAAGAGAAACACTGCCCGCAGGCCTGCCAGCCTCCCCATCCCTTGGCGGCCCCCCCTGCAGACAGGGTCCTGGCCTCCCAGTGTGTATCATAGTGTTCGTTCACATAGTGTTATGCATGATGCTCGTAAGGTTAAGAAGCCGTGGTGGTGCGCCATGCCATCGCCCATATATATAAAGATAAAAATATATATATATATATATGTAAGTTATAGCACTGGGGGCCCTGGTGCCCTGCTGGACCAAGCAAAACTAAGCCTTTTGGTTTGGGTATTATGTTTTGTTCCGTTTGTTTTTGTGGCTTGTCTTACGTCGTGACAGCACAAGTGCCAGTCTGATTGCTCTGTATTACAGAATAGTGTTTTTAATTCATCAATGTTCTAGTTAATGTCTACCTCAGCACCTCCTCTTAGCCTAATTTTAGGAGGTTGCCCAATTTTGTTTCTCCAATTTTACTGGTTACTTTTTTGTACAAATCAACCTGTCAATCCTTCTCCTTGTCCTCCCTCTTCTCTCCCCCATCCATCTCCCTCCTCTTCCCTTCCCCTTCCCTCCATCTCACTCTCCCCTCCCCCTTCTCTCCCCCTTCCTCCCCCCTTCCCTCCATATCTGTCCTCTTCCCAGTCCTGTTCCTTTCCTCGCTCCCCTCCTCTCTTGCTGGCCTTCCCTTCCTCCCCTCTTCTCTTGTCCCCCAAGTTGTGCTTGCCACTTCTTTCTGTTCTCTGAAGCAGTTCACTCAAAGTTGTGCGTCCCGGTTGCAGCTTTGCGCCTCTGCCTTTGTTTTGTGTAGATTGATGTGTTTCTTTGTAACTTCAGTGTTTCTGACAAGATTTAAAAGAAAAAAGAAAAAAGAAAAAAAAATGAATTTACTGCTGCAGGTTTTTTTCTCTCTCCATGTGTCACTAAGTGAAGTTTGTGCCTTCTATAGCAAAGAGAATATTTTTTACATCCTACTAACAGTAGATTTTTTTGTAGTGAACATTTTTTGTATTTTTATTTATAAGTCTCATAAGAAAAATAGCAATGTTCAGTTGTATACCTTGAATCTGCAGTTAGAAGAGAATAAAGTTAATTCAGTTGTCTCCGGGTCACGGTGTCCCCCTCTTTTTAAAGTGCTTTGTCCTTTCTGCCTGTTCTTGGATGGGGAGCGTTGCTGAGGAACTGAGATTTCTGTCTGGTGGTAAAGGGAAGAGGGCGCTCAGCACTGTACACACCCAGCCCCAAGACCCTTCTGAGCCCATGGATGAGGCCTGTTGCCCTCCCCAACATACTGGTCTAATGATTTTTAGCTTAAATGACGTTCAATACGTGACTTGTTCTTGGACCTATGTGCTGCAGCGGGCTTTCCTTCCTGTACTCGTAAAAGATGGCCCTGTACCACGTACGACTTTCTGTTCTGCAATTTAGGGACAACTAGAAGCCCCGACCCCATGGAGGTGACATCTGTTGGCACATGACCACTTGTCTGAGGTCCTGCGGCTAATGGGGGGTGGCGCAGTTGGAACTTCTATCCAGGCCTAATCCCGAATCAGGTTCGGAGTGTCTTGGATTCCCAAGGCAGGAATGCCCTGCCTGGATACTCACGGAATCATCGTCTGCTGCTTCCTGGCCCCTGCACAAAATGCAGAAATGTCTGGACTTGAAGCTTCCGCTCAATTAAAGGCTTCCCCTGGTCCAGTGGCAGCCAGGACCTATTGCGGAGGCTGGAACAGGTGGCCAGGTGTGGGGAGGGCCAGGATGGGGGATGGGGGCGGCCGCACAAGCTCAGTATTTCCCCCCCGCACCCAGTAGGTATCCACAGGGTGCCACCTGTTTCTTTTGGGCCCACCTGGGTCTCTTAAGCCAAGCCCTCTGCTCTCTCCCTTGGGATGGAAATGCATCCCGCTCACCTGTAGCTGTGGACCCTTCTACTCTGTCCTAGACATGACCAGCACATCTGCCTGAGGTCATCTCAGCTGCCCATCCCCAGGGTCATTTGTTCTATGGCGGAGGCCTAGGAGCACAGGCCACTGTCCCGCAGTGGTCCCCAGGTGGGAGCCACGCCCATTGCTAGACCTGTCCTCCAGCTTCACTGGAAATTCCCTGAGGCAGGACTGCTGTCTGGGCCTTTGTGCTCTGGTGCTGCAATGAGCAGGGAGCCTGGGGTTCTGCCTGCCTTCCTAAAGCTGTCAGCTTCGAGCCTGTGCCCCCCAGGGCCCTGGGGTTGCTGAGCTGGGCCCACCTGGAGCCCACACTACCCGCTGGAACACCTGCCCGTCTCTGCAGAAGTCTCCCCTGCCTTTCCTTTCTCTTCCACCCCCTTTATTTCTCTGGAGTTTCTGCCCCACGGTGTGTTCCCTCTCCCCGTGTTTCTCCACTTGGAAAGCCCTCCTTGGCCAGAAATGCATTTGTTTTGATTCGGAGCTGCCATCTCCCTTTACCCCACCCCACCCCCACCCTCGGCCTCCTGCCCCTCCCCCAGCCCCTGCCGGCCTCAGGCCTCAGCTTTCTCTTGACAGATGGGAGGGCAGTGAGCACTCCCTCTTTAAAACAACATTTAATCGCCGTTTTCTGTTCTTGGACATCAAAGCTGAGGCTTAGGCGCTGAGCTGGGGTCGTGGAGGCGCGGGCTCTGGGGGAGAGGAGGTGGGTGAATAGGGGCTGGCTGAATGGGCTTTGTGTGACCGCCGGGGTCTGCCTGCTTTACGTGCTCTTTGACCCAGATATGATCTCATGGAGAAAAAGGGGCCCTGGCCCGGCCGGCCTGAGAACGCACACTCCTCCCTCCTCCAGCCGACCTCCACCCTCCTCCCTCCCAGCCCTGGCCGCAGCTGCCCTCTGCTCCAGCTAGGAAGTCATGGGCAGCCTTGTGTGGGACAGGGCTTGCCAGCAGGCACACGGCTGGGCCAGAGTAGGGGACAGGCAGGTACCCCGACTCCTTATGCAGCAGGGCCTCCTCCTCCTCGGGTGTGGGTAGGGCCTTGGTCCACAGCAGCCCTAGAGGCTCTCCTTGCAGTGGCTCTGGAGGGTCCCTTCCCGCAGAGGTGGCAAAGCTGGAGCCCGGATGCAGCAAAGGCCTGCCCAGGATCCAGACAAATGCGAAGCTAGAGAAGGTGGGCCTGGTCCAAAGTCACCTCATCCTCCCACAGTGCTGCCTTCCCACCTGTGGAGACCCTTCCGCCGGACCCAGGACCGGAAGTCTGAAGATGCTGCGCCCTTTTCCCATCCTCTGCTGTGCCTGGAGGCTTAGGTGGCTCCTCATCTCTCCTAGGGTGGAACTCAAACTCCACAGCAAGGCTGACAAGACTCAGGCAGCCCCTGCTACCGTAACTTTGGCCTCCCTTCAGATCACCCCAAGCCCGTGGCTGCCCCCTACCCGCTTCTCCCGTCTGTGGGCCACAGATGGTTTCCAGGGCTCCCACGCGTGTTGTCCTCTGCTGTGAGCAGCACAGACCCACACTCCCCTCGCCTGCCTGGCCCTCTCCAAGTCTCGTTATTTGTGTCTCAGCCCAAGTCCTACCTCTGCAAAGGCCACCCGAGGCTGCATTAGGTGCCCCTGGCTGTGCAGACCTAGGTTGTACCATTTGTCATGGTGCATGATAATCCCCTGTTTTCTTAATTGCCACCATCTCTGGACTCAAGTTCCTTGCGGTCAAGAGCTGTGTGTGTCCTTTATCTTTGGATTCCCAGAGCCTATCTCCATAGGCAGGCACCCAGGGAATAATAAATGGATACAAGGAGTGGGAAACTGGAGGAGACAGCCAGGTAGCCCTCCGGAGCCCAGGATGCACCTGTCTGGCTGAGTGGGAACAGCGTGCAGGCAGCCATCACTGACCACCTGGGCAGGGCTCCGAGACTCCCACGGCCAGGTGGGAGCCTCTGCTGTCCCACACCTAGGCCTGTATTTACTCCTGTGGCCTCCTGAACCGGGCTTGCCTGTGCCAGGGGAAGGAGCAGAAGGCACAGCATCTCGGAGTGGAGGTGTGCTTGTGGTGACGCCTGTGTCCCCATCGGGGAGCCTGTCACCTCCATGTACTGCCAGGCCCAGCCCTGCTGCTGTCTTCCCTTCAGCCTCTGCCCCTCACTGGCCAGCGGGAGGGCTCCTCTAGGCTGCCTTCCTGCTCCCCAGGGGGTCCCTCAGTGAAAGTGAACTCCGCTCATTTAAACCTGACTCCGCAGCCCTGCAGCCCCCCACAGAGCTAATTACCCTGTAGTTCTAAACTGATTGCTGTACACTAAGCTTAAGCCCTCCTTTATTTATTTACTGACTACATTAATAGCAAAGCGGGCTGCTCTCAGCCCTCCCAACTGTACTCGGCTGCACCCTGCTCCCCTGTCTCCTGAAGAGGCAGGGGCAAAACCTGACACAGCCCCCCGCGTTTGCCACCCTGGCTGAATCCCTGGTGACACAGGACGAGAACGTTTTTGTCCATACCCGATCTGGGATACAACTGAGCTCTTCTATCCGGATTCCTGGACAGAGTGGGACAGCTCTCAGCAATCAGAGGGCTCCTCTAGTGACAGGTCACTCTGGACACTTCAGTCAGCCCTGACACAGCTGCTGAGGGTGGAATGCTGCCTAAATCTTTTACAGCAAAGTAAACTAAGGCTGAGGCTTCACAGGTAGGGGTGGGGTACAGCAGCTCTGCTCTGATCTTCTCCCCCATGTGCTTGTCAAGGAGAGCACATTCCGTATGACCATTTCTGCCCAGCCAGGAGTTCCCAGCTTCTTCCCCTTGCCCTGGGCAAGACCTGCCTTTGCTGCACTGAACCACACGGACGCTATCAGCTCTCGGGTCTTTCTGCCTCCTCTGCGTGCTGGCCCTGAGTCCGCTGCACAAGGTGGGCCGGAGCGTGTGCTTCACTTTCAGTGTGCTGCCAAGTCACACCGAAGTCAGCTCCTGCACTGTCCCAGTGATCACCTACCCTGCGACGTCTGGGGAGTGAGCCACCTCCAGTCCCCTGCGTGCCCTCAGATTCGAGGGTGCAGAGGCCCTTGGGTGTGTTACTGTTACCGTGTTCTTCTCTGAGGCAGAGCTGGGCCCTGGCCTTGGGGCTCCGCAGCATTTTGCAAATCAGATGGTCAGGCGGAGCAGCACATGCATCCGTGAAATCAAGCCCTGGCTCTCCTTTGATTGAAAGTAGCTCAGTGACTCCTGGGCTGGGTGCCTCAGAGGAAGACAGGCAGCAAGATTTGGCAGAAAGAACTGGGGATTCATAGTGGGGGAAAAAAAAAAGGCCTGGGTGGGAGGCCCACTCTGCTGCACACTCTTGTGGCCTCAACTGTGTCGCAAAGCCTAACATCCCATATTCTCATCTGCACAATGGGACAGCAAAACCTGGTCATCTATCTTCAGGACAGTTATTCAGCTGGAGGAAGATATGTGAATCAGATTTCTAGCCACCATAGTGATGTAAAATGTGAGGGGTGGGCTCAGGCTGGCCTGGAACAGGACCTGGTGGCCTTGACATTCATTTCTAGGGCAGAAGCCCAGGTAAGGGCCACCCAGGAGCATGGGGTCTGGAGCCAATCGCAGCAGCTGCAGGCATCGTGGGGACTCTGTCGCCACCTAGTGGGAATATGTGGCAGATGCTTCGCTGCTCAGGAGCTAGAAAGCTACTCGAATTCGTGCAGCTGCCCTGATTTCTCTGGGTCTGGGAGGGATTGAGTAAAGGGAGAATTTGGTCCACATTTATGGCATAGAGTGGATGTTTAAAACTACTTGAAGTGGAGGTCTGAGGGGGTATTTCCAGAAGTCCTCCTGAGCCAATATTTCTGTTCTCTTTTGCTCCCATCTTTCTTCCCACAAATTAAGAGGCCATTCACACCCTACTCTTATTGTCCCTAAAAGATTTAGGTGCAGTATATGGTCAGTACCGGGTTGGGACCCAGGAGCCTCATCTAGCTTGGGCGGAAGACCAACCTTGAATGGAATTCAGCGTCCGAAAAGCTTGTCTTCTGGGAAAGTCCCGGTAGACCAAGGGTTGTAAGAGGGAGCTGAGTGCTTCGGGCCAGGGAAGCAAGAGCTGGAGGGCCAGTTGCAGGAGGCCAGGGTTAAGCCACTTCCTGGCATCGCCAATCCTCCAGTAGCCTGGAAGCCCAGGGTG